GGTCGAGGACAGCCTGGTGGATCTGTTCAGGCTTCTCGAAGGTGAAGTTCTGTAGGGATGAGAACTTGTTGCTTCCGTCGATGGTGAAGAGTGAGATTGCTGCCTGGGGGCCATACTATTTGGATTGTTAGTACATGTTCATCAAGGATTAGAAAGAGAGGGTTGTACGTACATGGGCAAGGGCAAGCGCCGTTCCGTTGTTGTAGGATATCGAAGACACCGCTCCTCCCAAAACCGGGCTGCTCGAAATCTTGCTGAGGCTGCCATCAGCACCAACGCTCAACATTGTAAGGTTGGCACCAATTTCTACTTCGTCTAGACACACTATCCTTTCACGACCAAGGGAAGCATCGAGCCATGTGGGTAACTTCCCACACTCATAGCTCTCATGAGTAACCTTCATCGTTTGGCTAGTGTTTTCGTTTGTGCTAGGTGGTAGTTCGAGAGTCTGGATAGCGCCAGGAGAAGTGTCATTTCCATATGATGCGACGAGGAGCCGACCCGCGGCTACTTGTCCTATAGTCGCTAACGCGATGAGTAAAGTGTTCATTGCTGCTGATAATGAAGGTATGGAGTTGTGTAGTAATACAAAGGGACCAAGACTTGTGTGGTTGTAAGAAGAAGGGAGGGCGTTGTATCGTGGGGATTATATTTTGTATCAAAGATCTATGAAACTGTGAAATGCAAAGAGAGACAGAGTAAGGAATGTGAAATGGGTCCTTGTGAATAGATGCGGGGAATCACAACCTTTGTTCTCATCGCGTGTGTATATAGTGATGCGTGTCGCATGTTTCACATTAACCGCCATGGGTCCTGTCAATAGGGATTTAGGTTTTAGTAGGACCGACAGATCCTAGGCACCGAGTTCAGCTCTAAGGGGCGGGTGTTTCCGTAAACGCGTGTGTGAGGTTCTTGATTGGTGAGTGCGGGGTTGAGCGTGAGCTGTGTCTCGGTGTTACTCGGTGATAGCCCAAAACACCAGTCGCGCTAGTGCGTCATGTCGCCATCTCTGCGCGCACGCGCTTGTGTGATGACCTCTTCACGAGTCCAAATGCATGTACGCATGCTCACATGCAGCCACACTAATCATGTCTACTTCCTCTTCCAGTTATGCCAACTATCTCCCGAACGAACTGCTGCTTGAGATCTTGGCGTACTTTGCATCGTGGGGCGAGATCGAGAGGCAAACCGCGCTTGCACGCTTTTCCGCTGTCAATAGGTAATGTGTCGCATTGAGGATCCTGGTCACATGAGCTTACATCAGTAGACAGTGGTATGATGTATGTGAATGCCATGCTACGGGCCATCAAACGTATTGTGACTAATTTGGCTGTTCGATGCATAGATAGCAGTTCAACCACTATACGAATCACCATATCTATCAGGAAGTGCGTACGATCTCTTTGTACGAACGATATGTCCTTCTGTGCTAGCCCGCATCAAGGTAAGGATATTCCGAGTAGTTGGTGATACATGCTAACCTATCACAAGCCCACAGCATTGTCAAGTCTAGTAAAGTCGCTGGACTTATCCCACATCGTACATCAAGGCGCCAAATCGACAACAGCTAGATTGCTAGGCCGAACGAGATTATCTCTTGAAGTCTTCGTAGCACCTCAAGCTAGCTTTGCAATCAACTGCTGGGCTAGCCTGAGCAAATGCACCCGGCTACGCGTTCTCGACCTGAGCCTGTTGGTAAACCCCAGACACACGATCTTTGTTCGAATCGTAAACTGACATGCTCTTCTAAAACCAGGGTATCCGAATGCATCAGTTTCCAAAGCTTAAACCAAACGATACGGCAACTTGGGGATCTACGCGAGCTTTACTTGCCTCGCTGTTCATCTAGATATGAACCCTCCGCCACACCCGGTGGTCCCAGTATTCGCTGGCCACCTAACCTGGAACACCTCGCTCTATCTGGATCGGTCTCTGGTCAATTCCTATGGGATATGCTACGACAACCGGCCAACTTCCCTCCGACTTTCTCTTCGCTGAGTATTCACCATAGTCCAGGTCTAGATCAGTACGTCAAGACTCTATTGCAACGAGTTCACCGTACGACTGCCACTGGAGGATTGGATGCTAACATAAAGACCGCAGGCAAGGTATCAGACCCCTACTTGACAGCTTATCTGCATCGCTTACGGTCGTCGAACTCCGCGATCTACCAGCCGTCAAACAAGGCCGATTGAACAGTGTACTAGACTGGCTACCAAACCTCGTCTCTCTAACCATAGCACTAGACTACATCGACAGTCGATTCGGAAACATGCCACCAGATTTCTCACCAGCCCGATGGCAAGAAGCCAAGCCACTATACAGACTGACTCTCCTCGCTTGTGGACGGACGGGTGATCCCTCACGTAGTTTCACGATGACTGATCTCTTCACCTTAATAGACGAACGGTATCTAGGCCGTTTGCGCTATCTAAACATAGGACATAGCACGGAGTGGCAAATTGAGGATGAAGTGCTGGGCGCACTCGAGTCCAGTGTATATGAGCAGGACAAGGAGAGTTGGTTGGGCCGCAGATGGCACTACGAAGACGTGGATTTCACGGATACGAGGGGTTTGGAATACGAGCAATGGATCACAGACACAAGACTTGGGAGGAAAATGAGGCCTTGGTTCCGACTCTTGAAGAATCGTTAGTTGGACTGCTTGGCGCTTTGCATATTCAGGGCTCAGGTGCTCTTCATTGTGATCAACTCGAGGGTCTAAGCCCTCCGATAATCCTATCCAAGCTACCGAAATTGGTCTAGTAGAAACACAGGCTGTCTATGTCGTTCATATCGCATGTAATGAAAATTTTGCGGTCCAGCGCCTGGCGCATCAGTATAGTGGTCGGGCGCATCTAGGCGCTGCCGTTGACCTTGCGTCCCTGGATGAGACCACGAATACCGCCCTTGCCACCTACTTCGCGAATGATGGCATTTATGCTCAGGTCGGCACCGATGTTGATCTGGACCTCGACCTTTCCTCCCTTCTTGACACCACGGACTGCAGCTTCGCTCAGCACTTGTCCAACCTTCCATGTCTTCTCCCGTAGCTCCTCTTCCTCTTCCTCGCTGTCGTCGTCGCTGTCATCCGAATCATCCTCGTCTTTTTCAGCCTTGGGCTTGGGCTCTGGCTTTGTGACCTTGATGTGTCGTGAGCCTTCCGCAAGCTTAATGAGCACGTCACCTCCCTCTCGTGGCGTTGCAATGGTCGCAGTGCGTCGGACAGGTAGTTGTGTCTCCGCGTCGACGATGGCATGGAAAACGCCAGAGGACTCATCGCCCGAGATGCACAGCACACCAACAGCGGTGGAAAGGTGGGGTGTAACAGTAACCATAGGGTGGGTGCTTTGTTCAATGTCCTCAAGCTCAAACTCCTGGATAAGGCTGGCTTGGATAGCAGCACCACGGGCTGACAATTCCGAGGGGTTGATGGCTGATGGGGATGTGGAAGGTGCGAGGACGGTGGTGGATTCCGGGAAGGCTGAGCGTACCGCAGAAGCGACCTTGGGAGTGTGAGAGTTACCGCCAGCCAAGATAATCTCGGAGATGTCGAGAGGATCCAAGTTGGCCTTCTCCACAGCTTGAGTGACAAGACGAGTAAAGGCAGAGAACAACTTGCTTCCCAGGAGATCGTAGCGGGTGCGGTTGATGGTCGCGGTGAAGTCGGTGCCGCCTACTAAGCTCTCGACGGAGAAGTTGGCGGTGGTACCAATGGAAAGCGCCTTCTTGACAGCTTCGCACTCAAGCTTCAACTTGGCCAACGATCGGTCGTTTTCCCGAGGGTCACCGGCCGACTTGTGCTTCTTGAGGAATTCCTTGGCGAAATGTTCCATGAGCACTTGGTCGAGCTTGGAGCCACTGACATCGTAGTCGTGTAGAGTGGCCAGGATGGTGTAGATGCCGCCACGGGACGCAACCACAGCCACGTCCGAACGGGTGCCTCCCAGATCGGCGACGACGATGATCTTGTCAGCCAACTGCGCACCAGGACGGGCATCGTATGCTAGGACAGCAGCTGTGGGCTCGTGGATGAACTGTAGGACCTCGATGCCAGCGTTTGTCGACGCCTTCTTCAGGGCCTCCTTCTGGGCATCACTGAAGTTTGTGGGTACGGTGATGACGGCGGCGTTGACCTCCTTTCCAAGGTAGTCGGAGGCAGAGCTCCGTAGTCTCTTCAGGTGACGTGTTGTGGCATCGATAACGGATACGGTGTTCTCCTGCTCGTCGGCGGTATCGCGGATGTTGAACGCAACACCGTCTTCGTGCTGTACGGGATGGGCCGACTGGTGGCATGGGGAGGGGTCTATCGATTTGTAGCTGCAGGGTGTCAGTCGACGTGGTTGGACAGGTAGGATAGGATTGCCTACTCTTGGCCGAGGAAGTCGCGGAAGTAGGCGACTGTGTTCTTCGCATTGCGGACGAATTGGGTCTTGGCCTGACCTCCGTGTAGTTCTTCTCCTTCGACGTAGGACAGGGCGGTAGGGATTTGGCGGTCTTTTCAAGTGTTAGCAGTCGAGGGGATCCAGGGCGTGCAGCAGGCGGCGTACCTCCGTCTTCGTTGGCGATGACCTCTGCTTTGCCTTCCTGTTATGTGTCAGAAACATCCAGCGACATCAGCGACAGACATGGGCACTTACACCCGAGGTGAAAGCAATGGAGCTGTACGAGTTGCCAAAGGATATGCCTATCGCGACTCGCTGCGCGGGGTCCGCTTGCGCACTCATCTTGCGCGGGGAGACGTTTTCGGGTTACGGAAAGAGGATTCGAGTCAAACGAAAGCCGTTCAGTATCGACAACAAAGCGGCAGGGGCAGGTGAACAGAAGTTAGCCGGCTGTGGTAGCGTTTGTAGCGCGTGTGTTTCTTCGCGGCTAAGAAATTCAGAGTCGTGCATTTTTCTCGGAAGCGCACGGGCTTCTCGGAATGAGCTCACTCGAGGGACGGCGCATGTTACCAGGTGCTCTACCACACCCCAGGACACGACTTTGCGAGCACTACCATGGCAGCCTCAGCCACTATCGTACTGCCTGGCGACAACATCGCGCAGAGCGCTCTTCCAACTGGCACAGGCAAAAAGAAGACGCTCACCCTCGGACCCGGTTTGCGACACACGCCGCCAGACACGGTCACGGCCACGGTCGCGGGCGCGCTCGTGACGGACAACAAGAAGAATGCCGCTTCGGTCGAGTACAACACTGGAAGGGTGAGAGATCTATTCTGTCTCTTTCACTATTCTTGCTAATCCCCTTGACAGTATCTTCCTTTTGCAGGCGACCTCGTCATCGCGACCGTGAATGGCTCTGCCGCCGAGAACTTCAATTGCCTCCTCACCCCGAACACGCCGGCTGCGACCCTTCCCCACCTAGCCTTCGAGGGCGCGACCAAGAAGACACGGCCCCAGCTGCCCCCAAACTCCCTGGTCTACTGTCGCGTCGCGAGTGCCGGCAAAGACCTACCATCAGAGCTCACCTGTGTCGATCCCTCCACGGGCAAGGGCGAAGGTCTCGGTCTGTTAAAAGGGGGTATGGTGTTCAAGATCAGCCTGGGTATGGCACGGAGGATGCTTGCAGCGCGCGGAGGCATATCTCTGTTGGAAACCCTGGGCTCCAAAATCGGTTTCGAGGTCACCGTCGGCCGAAACGGACTTGTGCACGTTGATGGAGGAAACGTCAAGACGACATTGGCAATTGGACAGGCTATACAAGAGGTGGATTCCGCTGCCCTCGGGGACGAAGCACAGAAGAAGCTTGCTGCCGCGACGCTGAAGCAATGTTGAGGAAGATACGCGGATTGCTATGTCAGACTTTGCAATCGCACGCTGGAAGGATGGCGCCATTGTCACGCACGTTGGTCTATGTGAAGACTGATCGTAGGCGGGCTATCCGCTGTTGGCGGATAACTGGCTGTGAAGGGCATAACTCGACGTTTGCGACTAGCACGCGCGACGCATGAGAGATCGGCGTCCGTGTCAATACCAGAATGAGTTGTCGACGGATCTTACATTGCCAGATTCCGTTGATCATCTGCGTCTGGTCGCACTGGATGAAGGCTGTTGGAATCTAGTGAGCCGGCTTGAGTATATTAGAAGTATTCCAGCAAGAGCGCATCTGGAGTATCACGTTTAGGTGGTCATAGGCGGCACATCCCGTTGGAAGCAAGCAGGTGTCGTAGAACAATTGTTCGAAGGGGTAGTGTGTTTGTAGGCTGAATGATGAACATGTAATATATTTATATTTCTCTAGTATCTGCGATTGACGACACTACGGGTTGTGAGCTCCATGAGACGCGACGCCGTCAATAGATCAATTCTCAACCTTTGTCTCATGCCATACACGTCAGCTCTGAGACCATATGCCAAACTCAGGACCCTTTTTGTACGAAAGGTGCTGTGTCTGCGCCCATCATCGTGACCCATCCCTGCTAAGCCGACCTTGTCGAACAGTGTTTCTTCGTTCTCTTTTAGCAGATTATGTTTAGGGCACAACACGCTGGGGGTCTCGGGGGAACAGGCTGCACATCCTGATGTTAGGCAACCCGAGCCAGAATTGTACAATTCTCTCCAGGCCGAAACCACCTCCGGCGTGCGGCGGGCAACCGTACTTGAAGCAGTCTACGTAATCCTTGGTTCCAGCACCGGCGGGATCAATCGGGGGATCATGCTTGCGCATCTGCTCTGCGAGCAGCTCTGAGTGATGGATACGCTGCGCACCCGAGCAGATCTCTTGACCCCTCATGAACATGTCATAAGAGTTTGAGAGAGCAGGGTCGGCGGGTGACGGCATCGTGTACGCGGGGCGGATAGCAAGGGGGAATTGGTCCAGAGTGTAGAAGTCGGTGTTGTACTTCTCGAGAACAAGACGGCCAAGCATCTTCTCCTGAGGTGTTCTGGAAACATTAGTCAAGCCTTTGAGAATTTCACCTTCGCACTTACGTCAGATCGTCGTAGTCTCCAAGCTCCTCACCAGCTTCGCGCAGCATCTTGATACCTTCTTGGAAAGGAATTCTGGGAACGTTTCCGGACTGAGGAAGCTTGAACTCATCGACGTGATACACTCCTCTTACAAGTTCTGTCTCTTTCTTGTACCGTGCGTTGAGCTCGTTGAAGATGAAGAGCATGAGGTCTTCCAGCACACTCATGACTTCATGGTAGTTCTCCTGGAATTCCATCTCAAGATCCAGTCCAGTGAACTCGGTCAAGTGACGGGCCGTGTTGGAGTTCTCGGCGCGGAACACGGGACCGATCTCCATGACCTTTTGGAAGCGGGAGGCGATCAACATTTGCTTGTAGAACTGTGGTGACTGAGCAAGGTAGGCGGGGCGACCGAAGTACTTCAGCTCGAAGACATTAGCACCTCCCTCAGAGGCAGCTCCACTACATGTCATGTTAGTATCTGCAACGAATCACGACACGAGTAACATACAGAATCTTTGGAGTATGCACCAGAACAAAGCCCTTCTTCGAGAGGAACTCCTGGAACAAGGCGCAAACACCGCTCTTGATGACGAAGATAGATTGGTTGATCTTGGCTCGCAGATCAAGCGTCCGGTTGTTCAACCTTGTGTTCAGACTGACGAGTGGGCGCTCGCCACCTTCCTCCTCTTTCTGATCCTCTTCCGCAGCAGTCTCAGTTGGCATGGGGCGTTCCGCGTCCGACACTTGAAGCGGTAGCGGAATCTCAGCACTGGCCTCGACGAACAGCTTCTGGACATGAATCTCGAAGTCGGTGATACTGGCACTCTTTATGGGCTCCTTCACACGCTTGACTATACCCGTAACCACGAGTGTGCTCTCGGTGCTAACGTTGCCGCAGAACTTGACCATCTGCTTGCTCAGCTTGTCGCTGGCCGCAACGACAGCCTGCACGGTGTTGAGGTTTTGTCGCAGGTTCAAGAAAGCGAGCTTCGCAGATTGCACCCTTGCATTCTCAACCCAGCACCTGAATGTAATCTCCTTGTCCTCGTTGTTGGCGACATCGGTAAGCTCAGTGCGCGGAGTTCCCGTAGGCTTGTACTCTCTGGATCCAATGAGGGGAAGTTCGCCGTATGCGCCTGCGGAAACGTCGGCGCCGTCGTCGACTTCTTTCTTGGTACGCTCAGCGAGTTCGCGGGCTTTGGCTGCGGCCTTCTTCTCTGCCTGGCTACTGTTAATGCTATGGACTTGACGGGAAAGAGACTCTACTGACCTTCTCTTTCTCTTTCTGCGCCTTCTTCAGCGCATTCTTGGAGGGCGGCTCAGCGCCAGCAGATGCAGCGTCACTCATTGTGGTTGGATTGGGGTTTTTTTGAGTCGCGTTGTTCTATAGTCAGACGTGTGCTGGGGACTCACATTTCCATAGTGGGGCAGCCGTGGATGAATCACAGCCCCGCTATCCCCGCGGCGTCATAGCCCACTACGGGATCCTTGAACACCTGGGCTGTCTAAGTAAAATACAATGCCCGCCTAATAGCTTTAATGGTTCAGGATACATGTTTCAACTCTCATAAAATTACTAACTAATGTAGCTGGGTATAGTAAAAATTGTCATTCCCGCTCAAACCCAATGCTTCCCAGACGCCCTGCAGCAAAACAAGCCGCTATGCTTCATGGTTCAAAAAAAGGTCATGTCCTGAACGATCGTTTTGTGGTTCAGCCGACAGCGCAACTATCTCATTCTCTTTACAGTCTCTCACTGCTGGGTGTCGTTGGTAGCCAATCTTCAGCCAACGATGGACGTTCGACTGGAGGTCGACGCGCTCGCATTGCCATCCCAAAGTTTCACTGTCTTGACAGCTGAATGCTTTGGTTCGTGACATGAGAATATATTGACGTGAGTGTCGTTCGCAGCCGCCGCAGCAATCATCAGTCGGTGAGGGTGAAATGCAGTGACCGAGATAGGGGCAGATCGATCGCGAAGGAAACCCGAATAGGGCTCAAGGTGCGACACAGGCTGGCCGTTGTTGATGTTGAAGATCTTCACACGATGCCGTTGCGTGCCACTACACACGTTAATGTTAACATGTTTCGTAATCTTGGAATGTGATGAGCACTTACGTGGCAAAAACGGGAGCATGTTCATGAACGCTGAGTGTTCGTAGGGTGTCGGAAGTTGCTTGGATAGTTTTTACGCTTCGATCCCAGCGTATGTCCCATAGCTTGACCTCACCGCCACGGCAGCCGCTCACAAGTTCACGCTGTCCACCGCGCTGCAGGTGAACGTTGGTGATCCATTGCTTGTGCTCTTTCCAGACCTTGACCATGGCGGTGGCGGGCTTTTGGCGTTGATCGTATACTCGGATGGCACCATCACCAAAACCAGCAACAAAGACGTCTCCCTCGACTTGATCGGAGGTTAAGGATGTAATGCAAGAGCCGGATCGTGCGGGAAGGTCCTACTCATGTCAGCTACGACATCACGGATGCGGAGAGCGCAACTTACATTGGTGCATACTTCGGTCCCAGCGTTCCACACGCGAATGACCTTCACGTCGCCAGCAACTAGGATGAGACCTCTTCCTTGCTGCCAATCGAATACCAGACCGGCGTTCTTGTTACTTGAAACAAGATCAGTAAGTGCGCGGAATCCTGTCACTAGTTCTGTCTCTCCTTTACGGTCGTAGTTGCGGAATATCTTGATTACACCATCCGAGGATCCTGTCATTAGGAGTGCCTGGTCGTCCTCGTTGATGAATCGCACGTCCGTTATTCTCGACTCGGGAGGGTTCCCGTTGGAGAAAGAATTGATTCTGTTGACCGACTTTGAGTAGTCGAAAATGTTGACGGTATCCCGTGTATCTGTCACTACGAGATGGTCCTCAAACTGGTGGAAACACATCTTGGCAGGTTGGCTGAGGTTGTCGAAATATCCTCGTGGCACATCCCAACGATTGGAAACGGCAATGTCCTTCAACGGCTGAGTCTCGGCAATGATCCTGTCGTTACGGTTCCTCCGCCAGAGTCTGCCATTATAGTCGGTACTTCCTGGTTCGTCGGCTTCTGTGGGCTTCATCTGAGGTTCGCGGAAGTACTCTACGGACCATTCGAAGAATACACTCTTGAGTGGGATTTCTGGTTTCTCCGTCAAGTTCCGGTTCTTGAATCCTCGTGAGGTTGGCTGCTCTACGGAATGATACTTTTCAGGTGTCTGGGGGCGAGAGACCGCGGGAGTGTGGGCATCATCGGCAGCAGATCTCCCTGAAGATTTCTGTCGAGGGCTTGCTGAATCTTGGCCTGCCCAGAGATTCTTCAGCGAAGCACCGACACTCGTGGACTTTCGGATGCCACCGAAGAGTGACAAGTAGGTTGAGTCTTTGGTCGGGGTTGGGGGATTCGAGGCTTTTTGCGGCGCAGAAGTCTCTTCTACTGCACGGCGCATGGGTCGAGGAGCTGGCGCGTTTTGGAGAGCTTCGTCTAGTTGGGGCTGTACAAACTTGGCTAGAGACGACTCGATGAGTGATATCAGGATGTAATCAACAACAATTCCAGCGTCTTTTGCGATCTCCGGATGCGGATCGACTGACATGACTAGCAACTCTTTCCAAATGGCAGAGTATATGGTATTTTGCGAACAAGACGTCGATTCGGAAGCACTGCCCGTAGCTCCTGTACGTGCTTTCATGTGGAGCGCATCGGGGTTCTTGTCATCAGATTGCTTTGTGTCTGAGTTGGCGTAATCCTCCGATAGTTGCTCGAATGCGGCGACGATGAACCGGGTCTTGTAGCGGGCAACGAACGTTGAGAAAAAGATGAGGAGCTCTTTGCGCACCATACTATTACCGTCCATGGTCATAATGAGGATCATAGACGCGATGGACTCTTCGATGTTGGCCACCTGTGGGGTAACATCGCGGATACCAAGGAAGGACGCCAATGCATGCAGCATTGCTGCCCGTACCTCAGCAACGGGGTCCACGATTAGCTCGCAAAGTCGTTCATGTGCCATGCACCGTATGCCGACCCACTTGGCTTCTTCGTAGTTGACCCAGAGCTTGCTCAGACAAAGGCACGACCACTGCCTGAGCAACGGGTTCTGCATATCTTTGAGATGATCCAAGCAGCTCTCTACAAGCTCTGTGCTTAGTGAAGCACGTTGTCCTTGGTTGTAGTCTTTGCAGAACATGGAGACTATGAAGGCGCACATTGCGCGGTGTTCGCTTGCGTTCTGAATAGGTATACCTGTTTGAGTTTAGCTAAGGGGCAGTCTTTTGGATTGAATCTTGAATACCAGAATTGGGATTGAATATGTTGATGAAGTACTGATAGCCGTTATCCTTGAGTAGATCGGCTTGGCAGGATTGATCGACTGCAAGAATTCGGGCCCAGATGAATACCATGACTGGCTTTAGCTCATTGGCTTGCGATTGTAGTAGCTTGAGGACGTATGGGAAGATGCCAATGCTGAGTGCAAGATTTACAGCCCAGGGGCCATGATCTAAGAAACTCGACAATAGGATCAACGCTCGGAGACGATGCACTTGACTGAGTAGTACTTGAAGCACTATAGGAAGTTGTTCTGGTACCTTTTGCTCCACGGCGCCCTGTGTCAGGTATACCTCGAAAGCGGTCAGCTGTTCAGAGAAAAAGTCGGAGTGTTTGTAGTTGAAATCTTTCTCTCCACGTGCTTCAGCCTGCAAATCCGGTAGCTGGGCCAGGATCAACTCAACGGCCAAGTCCCAACTGCGCCAGAGCGGGTGATTGTGTGTTTGGGGAATCTCGGGATGGGAGACGGGATTGCAGTGGTATGCGCGCATGACGCGCTGTGCAAGAAGATAGTTGCGGAATAGTGCAGCAACCATCAAGTCCTGACGGAACAGTTTCTTGAACAGAGGTTTGGAGAGAGAGTTCCACGCGATGGTGTCGGTAATGGCTGTGAAGATCCAGTTCAGCTCACCAATAGGCGTTCTACGCTCAGAGACTTTGCCTGGAATATTGTGGGCATCTCGTAGGCTAACCTTGCTCGGGAGTGGGTTTTGCAAGATGAAGAAGCGTACTGCCATGGTTATGGGGTCAGTTAGACAGGATGTGAAGATATCAGCAGGCAGCTCGGGGTTAGTAGGGAGAGACTCGCGCTCTCTGCATGCTGCCAGATGGATGCAATCACTGAAATCGACATGCTCGACGCTGGGATCTCTCCGGCGCGCCTCCTCAAACTCGGCCTGGTGTTTCTCGGCAAAGCGGTTGAAGTTGCTGATGATGAGGCCAGCATCGGAGCAGTCATAGACGAACAGACTAGGTGCGCCGATCCAGGATTGCAAGTCGTAGAGCGACAAGGGAATGTACTGCGTGTAGTTTCTGTTAAAGACCCAGATCTCGCCGGAAGACGTTGGTTTGGGCACGCCATGGCCGTTGTAGTGGAACAAGACTCGCTCATTGCGGGCATTCCGGCGCAGAGTTGACGCGTATTTCCTCGTCTCTTCGGTTGTGGGGTCTAGCAGCAGTTTGTAGCGCGTGCGCATGCTCAGCTGCTCGTACTGGGTCTGGAGGGCCTTTCCGATCTGGTTCATGGGCGTGTGGCCGGGCGTCTGGGAGGTAACCGTCGGGTCGATCCAGCACTCCTCCTTGGCACACGGATTGGTCTTGATGACGTCTGGGGGATCAACGCCAATGTTGAGGCAGAGAGCGAGGACAGCCGAGACGGTCTTGAGGCGGTCCCGCATGCGCCATTCTTGGACGGGGAAGGCACAGTCCTGGTTTTTGGGGTGGCCGCCCGTCTCGTGTTTCTTGTCGGTGTAGTACATGAAGAAGTTTGAGGTGAGCAGGTTGCTGTACTCCTCCGAGTTGAGCTGGTCGTCCCAGCCATGGCGGATCTTGAAGTGGCCGTCGACGCTTCCCTCGTCGGTGCTCTCGGGCGGGAGGGCAGGATGGCGCGGCCCAAAGTCGCTCTTCGCGCGCAACATGCTGGGACGGGCAGACTGAGGGCCTATCGAGGCAGGGCGGGCAGGCGGCGCATGTTCGTCGACGGGCGAGGCAGGCGCGGCATCGGCGGCGGCAGCGGTGCTGGGGCGCGAGGAGGCAGCGGGCTCAGGGTGGTGGGCGCCGTTCATGGCGAGGGGGGCGTGCGAGGCAAGCGGATTGGGGTGCGTGTGGCCGCTGGCAAGAGGTAGTTGGTCGGCGGTTCTCATGGTGAGCTTCAGCGAGCAGCGACGGTCGTGACGGGGCCCATAGCGCGAGGCGGTGGCAGCGGGACGCGTGTGGGTGAGAGCGGCAGGCACGAGTATGGGCTGTGGCAGTGGACGTCACGGCAATGGCACGTCTATTGCACAGTGCGCGTGGATCTAGGGCAGC